GACCCCTTCTAAACCCAGCCTGGACTTCCGGAAGTTCTCTGCGGATGTGCTATTCTAATCATTTTTGGATAATCTTCAGTAGAATCTTGCTTGCATGTGAAATCAATGACACTGTTCGGTAGTTACACAGGGTAGCAATTGTTATTTACGCCTAGGTTCTCGCTTTTGGTATCTACTGAAGGACTGCAGAAGTAACAATGGCCACTTCAAGACTACTGTTGTTATCACTGAGTCAAAACTGACCCACAGCTCACCCTCCAGAGAGTTTTCAGAGACAATAAAATTGCACGGGAGGAGACCATCCATCCTTCTCCCATGGATCAGCTGGTGGATTTGAACCGTGTACCTTGGAGATTATAGCGAGCTTCTTACCACTAGGCCACCAGAGCTCTCTGCTCCAAGACTGTAGAGGGCTGGCGAGCACTGGTGGCCTAGTGGCAAGAAGCTGCACTGCAATCCCATGGTGAGCAGTTCGAATCCACCAGATGCTTTGCTGGAGTAGGAGAGACAATCTCTTCCTGCACCAGTCAGATCCGATTTGATGGTACACACATACAATTTATGGGGCGGGGGGGGGGGCGGGGGTGACAATACTGTAGAGGGTCGTATTTCCTGTCTGTTAAATGAGAGTCTGTATCTCTAAATTTTTATGAAGGAATGATCTTCATGGTCTATAAAAACGTACAGTATGGCCTAGCCATCCATCCATAACTATTTATTATTATTATTTATTTAGCTAACTTACAGACTGTGGAAACTACAGAACAATCTGATTTCACATGCAAGCAAGATTTTACTGAAGATTATCCAAAAACGACTGGAACAGCATATCAGCAGAGAATTACCAGAAGTCCAGGCTGGGTTTAGAAGGGGTCGTGGTACTAGAGATATTGTAGCTGATGTTAGATGGAACTTAGCTGAAAGCAGGGAACACCAGAGGAATGTCTATCTGTGTTTCATTGACTATGCAAAGGCATTTGACTGTGTGGATAACAAACTATGGCTGACTCTGAGAAGAATGGGAAGCCCAGAACACTTGATCGTTCTAACGCAAAACCTATACTTGGACCAGGAGGCAGTTATCAGAACAGAGCA